GTAGCGCATGCCTGTAATTCTGGCTACTTGGAAGGCTGAGGTGGAAGGATCGCCGGAGCCAGCAGGTCGAGCCTGTGGTGGCCGGGAGCGGCCATTGCACTCCAGTTTGGGTGACAGAGTGAGACTCCAACTCAAAAAATAATAATAATAAATAAATAAAAAATAAAAAAAAATAAATTAGTACAGTTTTTCTGGAGGATGGACTAGCAGTATCAAGGTTTAAATGCCCATGTCCCTTGAACCAGTAAGTCCACTACTAGAACTTTTGCTTTTAAAACCATTTTATTTAATTCATATATATATATATATATATATATATATATATATCTACTCACATATACGTAAGTGCACAAATGTTGTTATATGTGCCCTTCTTGTAGTTCGGTCTCGTTTATTTTCTCTTGACTCCTTTCTTTCCCCCTTCTCCCATGTTCTTTCTTTCTGTAACCAATGCTAAGTATTTATGTAGCCTTACAGACTTTTCCCCATGTTCATATAATCATAGACATATGCAAGCAGGCTGTTTTGGTCTTTGTTCAGTTCTGTGAAAGGACATATGATTTAATTACCAGTACACAGAGAAATATGTACAAGAATGTTCATTGCAGCATTATTTGTAATACCAAAATTTGGACAACTTAAACGTCCTAAGGCCTAGTTGAATAAATTGTGGTTCATTCAAAAAATGTGGTGAGAGCTATGTATACTGATAATGGAAAGACTGCCAAGATATATAAAGTGAAAAATACAATCTGCAGAATGATCCATATAGCATAACACTATTTGTGGGGAAAAAAAGCATGTGCACTTGACTTATGCTGATACGTACTTGTGTTTATGAACTTTTTAGAAGGGTAAATAATACATTGTTTATCTCTGGGAATGGAACTGCTAGAGGAATAGGGATAAAGTTTTCGTCTTTTCAGGGTTTTTATCAATCACAAAAACTTGGTAAATATTATCTTGTGATCATGATTAAAAAGCAGGGGTAATTAGCAAAATGCAGCAAACATTGGGAAAAAAACATATATATATTTTGAGTTGGAGTCTCACTCTGTCACCCAGGCTGGAGTGCAGTGGCTTGCTCACGGCCACCACAGCCTTAACCTGCTGGGCTCCGGCAATCCTTCCACCACAGCCTTCCAAGTAGCTGAAACTACAGGCATGTGCCACCATGCCCGGCTAATTTTTTGACTTATTGTAGAGATAAGGTCTCGCCGAGCTCGGTGGGTCAGCCTGTAATCCCGCGCCTTTGGGAGGCTAAGGTGAGTGGATTGCCTGAGCCTGCGGGTTCGAGAC